ATCTAAGAGCGTTTTTAAGCCATACCAACTAGAAGTGGATTACCTTCTCACGCTGGAAGGAGCAAACCATACACAAGGGAAGTTTCCGCTGCTATATGCAAACAGAGTAAAGTTAAGATGATGGCAATTCTTCCTTTGGCAATCACTTCTATTCGCCTTTGGGCTTTCTCTTGTGCTCCGGTATCTTGTGTTGCTTGCAGGTCCAAGGATGGATACCAACCTTGAAGGGAGAGGTACGATAGCACAATAAAGATAAGCACGAGGCAAATAGAAATATGTAGGCAAACAACATCTGCAGCAGTGCTTTACCTACCTTCGTATGTAATTGTGTTGCCTGCGTACTTACCAGATGCATCTGAAGATCTAACTGTGACCCCGAGGGACGACAGCCAAAATTCATCATCTACATCCACGGAAACTCCGACCACGACAACACAAGCAACAACAACCACAACAACAGCATCGACAGCAACAGCAACAGGAACAACGGCCACCTCAACAGAAACCTCCGCAACAACCGCAGAAACAACAACTCCTGCGGAAGTTGGCAAACCTTCCGGCGCCTCTTCACCGTTGAGTATGACGGCTGCTCTCTTGGCAGCTGTTCTGTCCTTCTTGTCATTCTAAAACGAATGAAAAGGAACTACAAAACGCACTGGGAAAGCCCTTGCTGCACACTCTGCTTTTTTTCAAAGCAAATTCTTAGCTTCTTTTCCTGATAACTTTGTTTCCTTCTTGTTCACTTAGAATCTCTCCTTAATTTTCCCTTTGAAGCCACAGTACCCAACACGGAGCCCCGTTGCCTATGTTCTCTAGGCTCGTGGGCTCAGTAAGTATCTCATTAGCGTCCATTGTAGTTTGTTCTTCCCCCGCATGACAGTACCGCGACAGTTGAGCTACAGGCGAATGCAAATCTTACTACCCCAGGTATACCACATAGCAATCGTTGAAATATCACCATGCAAAAAATACCACAGCAAGGTGCGCTGACTTTCACTTTGAATTCGTCATAAGCGCAAAATGTCGGGTAACTAGTCTATCCATTTCAACGAAAACATTAATCGGATAAGTCCTCTGCTTGTCATTAGAGCGCTTGATTCATAGAAATAGCAGAAGAGATGCTTCAGGAGCTTCGAGAGTGTCTGCTGGTACCTTAGCAACAGCCCTTTGTGGCTCATTTACAGCCTATATTCGGTGTATATCTTCTGAAATATGTGTTTATATACGTGTTTATGTGTTTGGCATTTCATTTACAATGTTGCCACTGCAGCGACCACGAGAGGTGTGCAAATTCTGTTCCTGGGTTTCGCTGCCAACTCACCTCAGGAATACAGACATTTGCTATTTGTTGTCTGGAATAACGATGGCTGGAAGCGACAAAAACTAAAATGCGAAGGGCTTCTCGTTTTCTTTCCCTTGTGTATCTCCCCATGTTTACTTCCCTTTCATTTGCAAACGAGCTCCCCTACAAATTCAGCCGCGACAATAACTGAGCTTCGTACACGGAATGATCATTGAGGCATCCGCCGCTTTGTTTCAGAATCAGTTCTAAATACATCCACTTTTAAATTGTGTAGGGGAGATACTTTAGAAGCCTCTTTCAACGCCATTTTGTTAACTGAGGTTCGGGGAGGAGCTGCAGCGCTGACACGCAGCCGAAACCGTCGAGAAGCTCCTCCGTATATGCTTTATGAGAACTTTCCCCCCTGTTCTTCTTGTTTTTTTCAATAAATAAAAGGGTTTAGAGCAAATGCTGCAGTCTAATTTTTGCGGTTTCTGCGGAGGTCCCCGCTTCGACCAGCAGGCCTTGAACGGGCTCCTGCACGCGGGTAGACCGACAAGGGAGGTTTCACACTCTTGGCGTGGCATCGATGCTTTCATGTAATCATTTAAATTGCATTATTTCACGTTTTAAATCTTTTCTTTCTATTTTAACTTTCCTCTTGTCTCCCGCGGCCTAGAATGGGGGTTCTGAAGTTCGTGGCAGTTCTCTCTGCTGCCGCCGTGTGTGCCTTGCACTCTGAGGCCAGTGTATCTCCTACGCAAGACTTGAACGAAGGTGTGTCTCGTTTTCTTTACACTTCAACTGCAAAAATAAACAGCAAATAGCACTTATGATAGCACCGGCAGCAATTTCTGCCTAGGAGAAAAACGAGGCAAAGAAACGCAAGGAAAATAATTTCAATACTGCATGGAGCAGAAGCAGTCCTCAATCACACTTATAAACTGCTTTGATCCTTCTCTCATAGCACTACTTACCCTCCTCAACATTTTTTCAAGACATATCATATAGCGGGGCATCACCTTCCCTCACTGCAGCAAAACGCAAGAGCAGCCTTGAGTGTTATTTGTAGCCTTAAATTAGTGAGAGCTATTTTCCCCTTGTCAATCACATTTCTCACCTGCAGACTGTTTCTTGTGATTTGATGGTTTGTCTTGCTTGCAGCCGAACATACGGAGCACGTCGACGGCGACAGAAGTACGATTGTGCAATATATACAAACACAAAACACCTAGCAAAATTAGAAACAAAAAAGCCTCATAATTGCACTTCGCCCTGACAAATGTGTTTTATGCGTTTTTTGCAGCTGAAACTGAAAATGAAGTTGACACTCTAGACGGCACCGATATTACGGTAACATCCACGCCAGCTCCACGGACAGCTCGCAATGGTGACGGCTCAGGATCATCAAGCGAAAGCACAGAAGCAACGGAGGCACCAACAACACCAGAAGCGACGGAGGCACCAACAACATCAAAACCAACAGAAGCACCGACAACACCAACAGCAACAGAATCAACGTCCACAACAACCGCGGAAACAACAAGCACTGCGGCACTTGGCCAGCCTTCTGGTGCCTCTTATCTTGTGTTGAATCTGACGGCTGCTACTTTTGCACTTGTTTTGTCATTTTTGTCGTTCTAAAACGAATGACTATGTATTAGACACCGCACACAAAAAGCCTTGCTGTACCACCTGCCTCTTCCATACACACATACTTTCCTTTCCTTGTTGCTGACTACTTCCTTTGCTCTTCCTTTGCAAAGTCGCCTCTTCTATTTCCCCCCCGAAGTTGAAGTGCTCAGCTGGGGGCCCCGACGCAAACGGTCTGTCAGAATTTGGGCTCAATGAACATTTCAATATCATTCGTTCTCTCTATTCTTCCTTTTCCCGTCATCCCTGACAACAACCGAGCTATAAGTTAACACTGAGCTTATATACATTTATCGAGCGGATCGTGAGGTGGTTACTAACCCGGCTGACTGAAATGTCGCAGAGGGCATTTTGCGGTTTACGGTTAGGGTTAGCCTTATGCGTTAACAACAGTCGTTGCATATTATTTCCAGCTTATTTTGACACAGTGCTCCATGCAATATGTATGAATGTTTGTACTAATATGCAGACTAACATTCATACGTACATATATTGACGTTTATATTTAGGTGTTTGCCCTGTGATTTAGCCAGTTTTCATCACAACAGCCGAAACCTTAGGAATGTCATTGCCGGCTCCTGCTGTATCCCTCCAAAGAAATAAAAAAGAGGCATTCTGCTTTTGCCGATTGAAACAGTAACAGCTGAAAAAGAAAACGACACCAAAATGGTTATTTATTCTATTTGTGTGTTGCTCCTTTTTCATTTCCCCCTGTTTATTCCTCATTCTTATTTAGTTTCTGTGGGAGAGAAATTCCTGAACGTCTTTTTCAATGCCTCTCCGTTACCTGCTGTTTGGATGGGGGGGGGGGCGCGGGTGGAGAGGAGAATAGCAGCGCCGACACAGCGAAAAAACCTTTCAGAGGTGCACTATTAGAATTTCCACTCGCCAGAAATGAATTTCTTCATTTTTTACTCTCAATTTTCATAAATAAATTACGGGGGTTGCGACAAATATCGCTGTATTGCCGGTGCTGCATCTGAGGAGGTGTCCATCTCTGATGAACCGGCCTTGAAATGGGCCACTGCCCACGCGGCGAGAGACTCGGCAAGTTTCAGCTGTTGAGAGTTTCATTGATCTCTTCATATAATTATTTATATTATAACATTTCCTATTTTTGTTGTTTATTTCTTCATTGCAACTTCTTATTGTTTCCCAACGCCTGAAATGGGGGTCCTGAAGGTCCTGGCAGTTCTGGTCGCTGGCGCCTTGTGTGCCTTGCACTCTGAGGCCGGCCCATCTCCTCCGGAGGAGCTCAGCACAGGTGTGTCTTTAATACTTATTCATACTTCAGTTGCAAAAAACAACAGCAACAACGTACTCACGCGCAGCGCTCCCTGCCTGGAGGGGAAGAAACCGGGCAGCGAAACAACAATTTAAATACTGCAGGATCCTCAAACTCCTCTAGAAATAACTTTGAGTTTTGTTTCAGATTAGCTCTTTTTAGGACACTCCCGATGGTTGTGCATCACTTTCTCTCACTTAATGCGGCAAACAACACCCAAGCGAGGCTGTCACCGTTTTCTGTGAGAAGGGTAAAGCTAATATGCAATTTCCCCCCTATCAACGAT